ACATGCCCCTGAAATAATTGACTCAATACTATGCACATGTTATAATTGACTCAATGACATGCCCCTGAAATAATTGACTCAATGACATGCCCCTGAAATAATTGACTCAATACCATGCCCCTGTAATAAGTAACTCAATACCATGCCCCTGTAATAATTAACTCAATGCCATGCATCAGTAATAATTGACTCAATGCCTTGCCCCTGTAATAATGAACTGTAATAATTGACTCAATACCATGCCATGTAAGGATTGACTCAATTCCATAGCCATGTAAGGATTGACTCGAACGAATGTAATTTTGCAGTTAAGATTTGCTTATACAATATCACTGTAAGGATTAACTGTATCAACTCAATACAACGTCCTTGTAAGGTTAAGCTGGATATAATATCCCTGTGGAAATAATTATACTTAAAGCAATGTCTTGGTAAAGAACACTTAATCACTCTGTAGAGATATTTATACTTAAATTAAATTTTCAGTAAACGGCAATATCGTTCTCCCTGAGGGATGTTACTGCTAGTCCTACGAGAATGAAAGAAAAAAATCGGTTTTAAATTAATGTCGTTTCTGATTAAGTATTCGAACTAAAACGTATTTCAATTAAAATCACAACACAAGAGAAAATTTATTTCATTCCAAACACTTTAATTAAACGAATTTTACGAAGAGGGAGACAAGAAGAAAAATAATATCAGAATAAAGCGACGGATTTGTTCGATTCATACAAAATTTAACAAGCTAAGACTACGGTTAGGACGGTAGCTTTGGTTATATTGACAATACAAATATTGGCCTATTATTAATAATTTTTTTGTTTAATTTTACGCTGACAAAGCACAAACACAAGGCTAGACATTAACAATAAGGTTTATATAAATATAATGTCATTAACTTGTCTATTATTTTTCGAGATATCCTCCCCATCTGCTTACACCCCGCCCCTCCCCTTCCACTCCCCCGTGAGGGTGGTTGTGTATCCGTAATATAGGTTTTCATTAATTTTATCCAATACGACATACATTAGATTTAAGTAATGTTATATCAAAGTTTAAGGCTATTTTCACCGTGTCATTCACAGGGACATGATAATTTGTTACAGCTACGAATTGTATATTTGGACCTAAACTTAGGTGTTCAGAGTAAATTTACACGTGAATGGGTTTAGATCAACTTTCGGTAAAAATGCCATCCCAAACGTATATATATATCATCATCATTTGGGGCGCGGGACCGAAAGTTGATCTGAACTCCTTAAACGTGTAAATTCACTCTGAACAATTAGGTTAGGTCCAAATATAGCTGTTACAAATTCTCAGGTCCCTGTTGTGTCAGGGTGGTTTCGTGTCGTTAATACAGCCTGTCCTTGAAGTTTACCTTATACGGTTCACCTGGGATTAAAACTAATATGTCAAAGTCTACTGATACCATACAGTTATTTTACTCGTGTATAATGTACTTATCGATGTAACCTAGAGTGTCTCTGTTAAGTGTTAATCACACATTGGCAATTTCGAAAGTGGAACGGCAGATCAATGATGATCCTGAAACGCCTTCCATTATCAGCGTACCACATCTGGCAGACAGGTGCGCGATGAAAGGTATGGTGATGCGCAATTGGAATTCACTTGTTTACGTTCTGTCGTACAATAAGCCTAGGACATTAAAAATTAATCATGTTTGTATCTGATGCATGGTGCATTTTGTTATCGACATGCTCCATCAATGACGTAATCAGTAAGTATATATATATATATATATATATATTATATAAAGAAAAATTGTTAACAACGAGTCTTTCACACAGACTCGTTGTTAAGAATTTTTCTTTATATAACATTTCTTGGTCCGTAAGGATCATTTTTCTGATTTATAATATATATATATATATATTATAAAAGCAGAAAAATAAATAAATTACTGACGAATAAATAATATAAAAAGAAAACTTCTCAACAACGAGTCTTTGTGCAGATGTGACTTCAGGGGTGAATGGGTTAAATAGCTTCGCCCATATTAACACCACCTACATTGTATGTAAGTTATACTTTTTTCACTACATTTGTATCACTGTCAGAGATGACCCTTGTTTCTCTTAAACTTTCTACCAATCGCTTAACCCAAACTCGGGACTTGGAGACGCTGACACCGAGTTTTATTTGACATGACTTTCCTCCGATCAAACAGATAGAATTGTTGACCTGCATAGTCTGCTGGCTTCCTTAAAATGAAAGTTAAATGAATTCAAAAGCTGTACGTTCCCTAAGGTAACAGATATTATTGTTCTCGAGGCCCGGGTTTCGTTAAGCTAACCAGACTTTGACTTGTAATGTTTCTCAGTGAAATCAGTGTTTTGCTTTATTAATCAGCAACTAGTGGAAACTATGATATTTTTCACTAAATATTACTTTTATAGAATAATTAATGTTCAATATTTCACTGGTAAAAATGTAATAAAACTAGTTATTTCCCTCAGTTATCATAACACCATGTGTCTTTAAGTCTATAGGTACCTGTCGCAGACGACAGAAATATACATGTAATATATATATTGTTGTGAAGTCGTTTCTGTGAAAGCTTTAGTAAACTCGGGTTCAACTATATAGTCACTAGTCTAACAAAAGATGTGTGAAGCTTTTGTATAAATGTCTTTAAATGTACAAACTGTGTATGTGTATATTTGTTTGTTTGTTTGTTCGAATTGTTTGTTACCTAAACATTTAACGAACACATGCTGAAAAAAACGTTATGATAAAAAGCTTACCATACCCTGAATGCCCAGACGAAGTTTCAATATTGACACATACGAGTCTGGTACAACAGTACTGTAATATTTAATTGTGATAGGCAAGCCCAGAGTAAACTGAAGTTCGAACTCTAAAATATTGCCGTAAGGACAAGATCCTTTCTGATTTGTCTATACAATCAGTCAGAAACGAGTTAGTGAATCGACATTGATAAAATTGAGCGTGGATTTTACAAGCGGTGTACGAGTGCTTGTCTATAAACATTTTGACCCTATTACATACCTGTGCTTGTTTTCTTCCATATTTGTATTACGGTTTACGGTCTACATTCACCAAGGGCTATGTCCCGTGTCCTGTCCGTATGCCCACATAATTAACGTTCGTAATGGTATAAAGGTAACCTTTTAAATCCAATCTTAACACTGATTCAGTTTTCATACACCCGTATCCGTAACATAACGTGTTTTAACACAGAGTACAAAAAATTCCAGTTTCAAAAGACTGGGACTATTTTTAGATTTAAACAGGAAGAAAGGAACAGTTGACTGACTATGGAAATAGCCGTATGATCTGTATAATCCATTCTATATATCAGTTTTGCATTGTAATGTATACACGTACTGAGTTTATAATCTGATATTAAAGCTAGACCGAAAGCAATTGTAAACAATGCAAATGCAACGTACCCGTTATACCCTTCGCTATTAGCATATTTCTCAACAGGTAGGTCATCAAACAGGTAGATCACCAAACAGGTAGGTCTAGATGTCACAAAAACCTTAATTATAGATCGTCCTTAAGCACGAGATCGTACCTACCTTAACTTGTCGATTGCCAGAAACACACACAGAAATGAGTATCGTTGACCAGTGTTTACTCCTCTACCTGCGATTCCGTATAATACACGTAGATACAGGTAAGAGAAACACAGGTGTATATCGAGTAGAGAGAAACACAATAAGCCTCTCCTTAGCACGTGTACTCAAATGGACTACAACGACGATACAGAGCACTCGTGTAGATATACTGTACAGTAGACACAAGATCGATATGTGACGTTTCCGTATGAAGCTACTATGATATATGTATATTGCCGCGTGTGCCGTGCGGGAACTCTTCTGATTAAGAATTTATACAATTTTACCACTTACTGGTAAGATAATTATTAGACCAGAGTCCCCTTTCTCCTACATCCAGTCGTTTTGTTTTGACCCAACACTGCTCTGAATTTTTACGCCGTTTTCCACATCCTCATTCCATAAATTATTAATGAACTCATTTCGCGTCAGTTCTGCTGATTAACGGGTTTGTGGTATACAATACTGTTTGTGGTATACATTACTCAAATCACTATTCGATTTGAATAATATAGTCAACTCTACGTGTAAATCAAAGCTATTGTAACAGCGATTGAAGTTGATGCACTGTCCAACAATTGATTTTAAATTATAGGCAACTAACTATGTATATTCCAAGAATAATAGTGTCCTGTATGGGCTGAAACGCGTTCAGCTTCCGACGATATAATGTCAATTCATACAGTGGACAGATGTTCCGGGTGACTGAACGACAACATCATTGTGTCTCACGGTTCGCTGAACACCGCCTTTTTTGCAATATTTTTTTGCCCACGCATTTTAACTAGTGTAAATAGAAACGAAAATGTATGTTCTTGTTACATGATATGTGACCCCATAAAGGCTTCAGTGGACCATGACAGTGATGCTTGACTGGTGCAAACATTTACTTTAGGGTTGGTTCATCCTCAAGTTAGAGCGGGGGTATAAGTTTCATTGCAGTCCCCGTATAGAAAACGATAATGCTGAAAGTAGGCGAACTAAATATGTTGTTTTGGAGAATGAGGAAGAAGCGATGCTCAATTTAACAGAAGATTTACACGGTAGGTATAACTACATGCTATTTTCTTCACTTTCATACAAATATAATTATTATGGACTGTAAACCTGTTTAGGGAAAGGATTTGTACAACTTGTCAAGCCCATTGGTATAAAAAGGCCAATAAAATGATGGTAACACGAAAGGGTGTTTAAATATCCTGAATGTGTTACCACTTATGTTACAGAAAATAATTTACATAACAATGACCAAGTCTGGTAGCGTATTTGTCGGTTCGTGGATACAGACACAGATAGCTTATGAGAGTCACACCTTCCGCATACATATATACAATGATACAATAAAATATGCTTAAACATATGACGATGGCCCCTCTTTTATAAAACATTAATAAGAGACTAAAAATAGTTTAAAATTCATGTAAAGGCACTTCACTTTAAAAGGCAATGAGAGAGAAGCTAATGCATGCCATCAAAATTATATTAAAATTTCTCAAACTTCAATGTACAATAATCAACGATGTATTAAATTATTATGACGTTTAAGAATAGCTGCTAGAGCTTTGGCACTATATTTAGCACAGTTCTCGTTTGATAAAACAAAGTAGCTTCTCCACATAACTATTTGGTTTGATTGTGGTTAACGTCCTATTAACAGCTATGGTCATTTAAGGACATGCCAGATTTTATTGGTGGAGGAAAGCCGGAGTTCCCGAAGTAAAACCACCGACCTACGGCCAGTACCTGGCACTGCTCCACGTAGGTCTCGAACCCGCGACCCAGTGGTGGAGGGCTAATGGTAGCAGAATAACTAAAATTCATAAAATCATTATCAATTTATATAGCTCTGTCATATAAAATGTCACGTATGTCATCAAAAATCGGAAATCTTGTAAGTGTGTGCTCCTCATCCTCTACCTGGTCCATACAGAATCTACATGTTCTCTCCATCACGTGTAGGTTTTCATACCTTTCCGTTTCGAGGCGCAGTGGAGCTACCCCGCATCTAAATTTAGCGAGTGCGCTACGTTGTATAGTAAGAGGCGACCTCACATACAGTTCACACATATAACAATGTTTGAATTAACTGTAGCATGTAGCATTTAGAGTATATTTACCAACACCCAAAAAATAGCGTCCAGCCCGATTCTGTACGCCATTAATACACGAATGGAAACTCGTGGATCAAGTCTCCATGGTGGTTTCTAAATTGTCCTTTATGACAATGGGAATTATAATAAATATGTTTCTTTCTTATATTACTCTTTCATAGTGTAAATTGACAACCTAAACTCTTGAGTAAGGGAAAGGCCGAAGTTAAAGCACTTCTTCGTTGGTGATGCTATAAGCTTTAACGCTATATAATGTTCCTTCCGTTTTTTTCTTTTCCCGATTTCAAAGCCTGTCAATTTTACCGTTTTGCTACCGCGATATTCTTTCGATGTACACCAACGTATTAAACCTGTCTTCTTGTTCCATCCACAAGCTGGTACACACTGAGCCTTCGAATTTGCTATTACATATTCCAGGGGTGCAGTGAGCGAAGATGAGCGTAACCCCTTGAGTATCGAGGATGAACACTAATATGTGGTTTCCGACTTCATGTTTGACGAGGGGATACCACATGTGGTCAGCAGATATCCCTTTCGCGAAGGATAAAGTTAATTTTATTCATTTGCGTCCTAATGTTTCAATCCTCCGTTTCGACAAACCTCTTTCTACTGAGTCACTTTCACATCCCAAGTATACATGCTGCCTTACGATCAACGTGACGGGCATAGCACGTTACGTTTGGTCCGGAAATTCGTTGATATGCTGAAAATGGGAATAATATTGAACCAGATCCCTCCCACATTTAAATTCTTCAAATGACGCGTAAACAACATGTACTGCTAAAGATGATTCAAAACATCATGTAGAAATAAATATGGTAATGTTATCTGGGGTGTCGTTTAAATTCTTCTCAACTTCAGATTTGTCTGGGGGGGGATGGAGTGGGGTGCACAGTAGCACTACGATTACGCGGAGTGGTGTTATAAGAAAAAAAAGATTAAAATAATATTCAATGTATATAACGACGGTAATCTCATCAACATTGACATAAAGTGTGTCACATTTCATTTATGTGGAGGATACTGCGAGACATATATCATTTAATGCACCTATTGGCTGAGCTGTTAATGATCTCATTTCGTGGACTAGAGGAGAAAGTAGTGCATGAATTAGAAATTACGTATTTGATGAATATATATATATATTTTTGTCCGGGTTTTGGCTATTATAGGAATTCATTACCGGCTTCCGATTAAAGATAAAAGTGCATGAGGGTAGTTCTGTAATATATATCACTCCTAATTTAAGGCCTTTTTAAGTATGTCAGTATTAGCTGGAACTCGTCCGCCCCCATTATCATAACAATATTCAGTAACTGAAACTTAAAGAAAATCATGTAAACCACTGTGTCAATACACGAGAAAAGTAGGCACACTTATCAAGACGCAAGGAAATAAGTTAGAAAAGCTAAATCACGGCGTCAACACACAGGGATAAAACATTACAACGAAGAGCAAGTTGCTACAAGTAAATTTTAAAACACTAAACCACAGAGTCAACACACAGGGGGAAAGCCGTCACTGAAATCAGGTTGCTACAACTAAATTAAAGACACCAAACATGGCGTCATCAAACGGCGACAAAGTCGTCACTCAAATAGAACACAACAAGTAAAATTAAGAACATTAAACAATGTGTAAACAAAGAGAAAGCCGTCATTCGAATCAAAGAGCTATTTCTTTTTGTGGGTTGCTCTGTTTTTTATTCATTATGGAGTAATGCTTATGATTTTATGCTCGTCTAGGTTATCAAAGTTTATGATTTTGAAATGTGGAGTATTGTATAATGTACCCTTTTTATATTAAATGCATTCGTTATCATTAATTAAAATGCCTGCTCTGATAGGCTCGTATGAAAACAAAAACAATTCAAGACTTGGGCACAGTTCGAATCCGTAGAAATGTCTTCAATCTGCTGGAAACTCTTGTCATCGAACTCAACAAAGAAATTGCGAACTAGGAACTCAATAAGTATGATAGATCATCGTCAGAATAGTATGTGTTGGCCTTTGCTGTGCTTTCTCAAAATATGCCTCTGAAAAGTTTACACACATATTACATGTTTTATAACGCCGTTCGCCTCTCTTAGCAAAGAAAGCTCTCATAATAAGAGACCAATGGCGTTCCCTCAGTTTGGTAAGAGACATAGAAGTGGTAAAGGAAGCAAAGTAAAATGTTCTGATAAAAGAGACTTTTATAAGCGAGTGGATTCTCAAGAACAATCAAAAGATCTTCTAATTGTTTTTCAAAATCAAGACATCGTTTGTTCCAGGAGCTTTTGTGTGTGTTCTGTTCCTTCCCAAGAACTTGCGATCATGTGCATGTTGCTTGCGCCAACTATGTCTGATAAGGCTTTTGAAGAGATGGACAAAGACGTCTTTATCGATGACTGTACACGGTTGAAATATCAATCCTACGTCTGTCAGCTATTGATACTTAGGCAGTGACACGTTCTCTAGGCTTTGATTATTGATGGAATAAGACTCTCACGTTTGTTGTTTCTGTGATAACGTCTTGTTGTGGCTCAGTCTATTCGACAATTTTTCATTAAAAACGGTATACTACGATTATATGTGTGTAGGTAAGGCACTGGTCGTTAAAAATTGTCTATGATAACTGAAGCAGCGAATCAATTCGATAGATGGCTGACTTTCACTCGGACTTTGTATACGGTTGACCTGGGTTCTATTACTCGCTTTATTAATATTTGATATAAAACCTGTGTGGTCAATATATTGCAAAACTCTGTATACATCTACATGTATGTCAATACTGTAATTAGATTTTTCCTATTGACCCTGGCCATGAATACCCTGCGGAAGTTCAGTATTAGCGGTCCAACGACACAATTTCATTTGTGGTAAAAATAAATAATCAAAATCTTTGATAAATTATTACATATGTAAAGCAACTAAAGGTCAAAATTGGTCTAATGTCAACATCAGTATTGTATGAGTATTGAAAACGCTATATTCTATTATAGAGGCCCATTTCCAGTATGTATGGACTTGATAACAGTTGTCAAGGGTACTTTTTCCAAACAAAAAAGTACAGTCATGTCTTGTACATTGATATATGTATCACGAACATGTTCCAGATCACTGCACGTGACTTTGTAATGTTTAACAGCGAATGTAGTATCTCAAGAGGACGCATACAATTCGTTCGTTACGTCATCACGCAAAACTTCATTCATACTTATTTTCGTAATACATTTTTATTTATATGCATGACTGGTTATTCAACCTAATCAGAGTTCTTAGATTACAGCTTAGATTTTTATTATTAGAATGAATATGTTGAGATGAATAGAAAATAATAGGTATATAATTGCCATGCTACAAAACAGTTCAATTTTTGAATGTTATGTGTAATATTTAATATTGTGTCATGACAAAAGATGGTGGATGTTACTCAAAGGGCAAAATAGAAAAAAAAAACATAAGAGTCAAAATACAAGGGCAACTTCTGAAATACGTTTCTGTTCAAACATAACAACAGGAACTGATGACTGAGACACTAAACAAATAAGACCGTCATTTTGAACTGCAAGTAA